TAACAGTGTTGACCCCATTAGTAAGAGTTAAATTTAGGAAGAAAGAAAAGTGCTGAGTCAATTGAAAGCTAAGCTATTCCCATAATTAGGGAGACTATTTAAAGCCCCATGATGTACCTTCAAGGTTTCACCTTCTGAAAAATTTTCTCTTAATGTAGGAAGAGTAGTTCCAGGACTGTAAAACTCTGGTGTTATTTATAATACAAAGACGGTGAGATAGTGTGTTCATTTGCAGCAACTTAGAAAAGACGTAATATATTTACTCTAGGAATTGGTACATAAATACGTATAAATAAAAATGTGTCTTACCTTTTCTTCCTTCTCACATATACCCTTTCACTAAGTGCTCTCCATCCATCCTTTAAATTGTTCTCTTATCTGTTTTATCCCATCACCTCCGAAATGAACAGGGCATCGCCACGTCCCTTTCTAGAACTGCTTTGATTCTTTGAGTCCAGGATGCTCAGATGGTACACCCATGGCCTGCAGTCATCTCTGTGGTTGCAGTCTGCCTCAGCAAAGGCAGTTTTTGTCAAAGTAGTGGCTGATCAAGCAAGGAAGGAAGGCTCATAGAATGAAGAGACCATCTCTGGCAACCCCCAGTGGCTAAGTGGAAAAGGAAAAATACAGCTTGTCTTGTCTGAGTTCACTGGCTCCGAAAAGCAGGAGTTCACCCATCTAGTTTTGTTAGCCAGTAAACAACAAACAGGACAAACTATAAATGTTACAGAAATGACAGGTCAGCCAAGAAACAAACACCACTCAGAGGGTTGGCGTACTCAGGTTTATTAGGCCAGCGGGCTCAGAGGGGCTACCGCTCCGGAGCTCTGAGCGCCTCTGGGAAGTGTGAGTGAGGTTTTACAGAGCTGCTTACAAGCTTGGGGTCCATCAGCCAATAGGGTGAGTACAGCTAGGCAGTATCATAAAAGCAGAAGCAAAGGGTTGCTTGCAGTAACCCGAAACTGGTCTAGCAAGGTGAAACTTAAAATTCATGAGTTAACTTAAAATTCATAAGTTAGCCCTGCCCAGTCTTGGCCCAGCCCAACATTTTCCTTCTCATCAACACAACCTGTTCTAAATAGCCTACAGGAAAATGCTGTCCAGGAGATCTGTTTGGACCTTTGAAATTAGGCCCCTTTGAGCTGTTTTCATTTCCCTCTGCAAGGAAAGCTGCAGCTTGCATTTTCCTGAGCCCATAGCAACATTGCACTGCAGCATTATTGATAAAAGCCAATCATCACAAACAGCCAACTGGTCTAGTTATAATCATCACCTCGGTAGGATGTTGCAAAATAACAACAACAAAAAAGAATAATGAAAAAGAAAGTAGCAATGAAGGATACTTCTTGTGGTGGAATATTAAGTGAAAATGAGAATTGTGTTTCTCTGAGAGGATGGCTTTGGTTAGTGTATGTATACGTATACTGAAGGAAACCCTGGCAGGAGAAGATAGCCATTCATTAGCGTGATTTGATCGGAATGCTTTTAGTGGACATTTTGTCATGCTAATTAAAGAAACTTATTTCATTCACTCAGTCTCCACCCAGGCAGTGTGCCAGAGCTTGAGGACACAGAAAACAACCAATAAAAAGCAGGTCTTCTTGGGGTTTGCAATATCTTTTTTTTTTTTAATTGAAGTATCTAGTCAGTTACAATGTGTCAATCTCTGGTGTACCAATACATCATTTTAAAAATACTTTTCTTTTTTTTCTAGTGTTATGATTTATTTTCTTCTGTCTATTCATATGCCCTGCCTGCCTTTCTGCTTTGTTTTTATTTTTTTATTTTTCAACGGGAACATAGGAAAGAGGGGAAATAGATGTGTGTCCAGTCCCATCTTGAACTAGAAAGTTTTCTTTTTATTCTTAGCTTGCTAAAATTCTATTAATGAAGCTTATTCCCCCCAAGAAAGATTAATGTGACTGTATTTGCTGTGTGGACTGTGCCTCTGGACAGTCCTTGGAATACTGATGACCCTGGTTTCCAGGATCTGCCTCTTGAGAGAACGCAAACACTTCGAACAGCAAGGGTGGAACCTTCCCTCTTTAAGGAACACCTGGGGGCTTGGTCTATTACTGCAGCATCCTGCTTCTCAAGCCTTGATGATAAAGTAGGTGTGTTAAACAACAATGATGAGAGAACCATAAAGACAAGCACCTATCCCCCAAATATCTCCTCTACCACCATCTGTCAAAGGCACCTAAAATAGCCTTTGGTCATGAGGAATCTGTATGACAATGCTAGCATCCTCATAAAGAAGACCTTAAGGTTTAAACAAGTAATAACAGCTGACAGCTTTGCCTGGAAGCTTGGGTTTAGAGACCTGAAAGGGAGGGAATTGATGGAGGGGGAGGGAAGAATCTGACCAAGACTCCCCAAAAGGGGAGACAGGCATAATGCCATGCATCTCGTTTTTTTCTGTGTGCCAACTCTGGCTGGTATCATATCGCTTCTGGTTCTTGCTGTGAAATTAAATACTAAAGAGAATTGGCAGCAGGAAGGTAAGTCCTTTGCCTGCATGGGAATAATGGATAGGGATTCTTTAGGGGCAGGTTGAGGATAGAAAAAGCAAAAACACAATTATGGATTGTCAGCATTCCCTTCAGGGTAAAAACTGAAGAGGCTCTCATATTTGGAAGGGTCTTAGCTAAGATTAAAACCAAGCTCAGAAGTGCTGCAGCTTTACTTACAAAAATGACTTTTTAAACAATTTCTAAAGTTAGAATTGCACGTTTTTCCATGTCTGAATGTCAAGTTCAAGAAGCTTTACTCTCCTACTCTCTGCCAACATTGATAAAATATCTTGAAAGTAGGGGGAGGGTATAGCTCAGTGGTAGAGCATGTGCTTAGCATGTACAAGGTCCTGGGTTCAATCCCCAGTACCTCCATTAAATAAACAAACAAACAAACAAACCTAATTACCTCCCCCCACCCAAAGAAATTCAAACTGCTCCAAAAAGCAAAAGTCTATTAACTATTATCTATATATCTATGTACATAAAATAAATTTCTTTTTTTCCCAACCATCCCAATATTTTTATTGAAGTAAAATAAATTTCTATCTTCTTTCCTCCAGTGTTATATTATTAACCAAGGATATACAGAACAGAATTTTAAAGCAATTAATCTGCTAGTGTTAGAATGAACAGTGATTGGAATCCACTTAATTGTGGTTTTAGTTAGCTGGTAGTTTTAATCAGGTGAGAGCTCTGCTTGGTTTGCTCCCTCGGAAGCAGCCAGGCAGTTGCTACAGTGTGATTTGCACCCCTGCTGACAGCCAAGTGTGGCGCTTTCCAGATCAGAAGGCATTATTTTATTTTAAGATTTTCCCCTTGCCCGTCAGGGCTCCCTGCAGGTCCGTCTGACTGGGTGAGAACGGTTGTTTACAGAACCATTTGAAGATAGGCCAGTCCCTCCACAGACACACCTCTCTCTCTTACTCAAGTTCACCACTCAGGCAACTCTCCCCTCTCTTCCCTTTCCTTTCCATTTATACTTCCTCCCTCAGTGCTGTTAACCAGTCTCCTGGCTTTGAATACCGGCTCCCAGTTGACACCTCCAGCTCTTCCCTCCTCTGAACCCCAGATGTATTTATCTGGTGGCCCGCCCAGCAGCTCCATTTGGATGTCTTCCAGGGTCCCCCATTTCAAGTCATGGCGATCCCATTCTCTTGGTTGCTCAGTCATCCTGGACACTTGTCTTTGTCTCATGTCCTGCATCCCATCCAGGAGCAAATCCTGCACTCTCTACCTGCAAAATATATCAGGAACCTGACTCCTCAAGACCTTCACTGCTACCACCTGGTGCAAGACGCCATCCTCCCACCTGGACCACTGCACGAGCTTCTGAGTTCTCTCTCTGCCCCTATACTCTCTTCATCACAAGG